GTCGAGGAGTTGATTTCGTCGGAGGAGGAGCAGTACTCGTCGTCGAGGCGCTGAAATTTCTTCGTCGAGGCTCTGATTTGCTGTCGAGGAGTTGAGTTCGTCGTCGTCGGAGCAGGACTCGTCGTCGAGGCGCTGATATTGCTTCGTCGAGGCTCTGAGTTCGTCGTCGAGGAGTTGAGTTCGTCGTCGAGGAGCAGATTCGTCGTCGAGGAATGGGATCGTCGAAGGTGGAGAAGGCAGTATCGCTTCAGAGGTAAGGGTTTTCGAAGTGGGCTTGGGCTATTGGGCTCAAATAGTTGACGATCGGTCCTGTTTCAAAATTTCAGCGATGATTTTTTTTTTTTGCGCGAGACGAGCCGTGTCCCTGCCGTTTGGGTGCGGATCCGCACCCAAAACGTACCCGACACGGGTACGGGGCCTCAAACGAAGTGTCGGGGTATCATAGATTACAACCCTTAAACCCTTATAAATAGCTGAGAAGTCAGTTACAAAGGGATCCTTTTTTGGATCATCTTGAATTGGCTTTTCTCGAAGCTTGTGCATTAGCTTGTGAACCATTTCGGTTAAATTGAAAATGATTAATTTCCTTTCTAAAATCAACTCTTTTACAGATTTTTAAACTCATTCAGAGTTCTTAACTTGTTAAGAGTTTTTAAACTTGTCTCGCAAGTTCTTCCGAACGTCAAGTCAAGAGGAATAGACCATGTTCCACGAAGCGAGATGCTCGGATTGTCAACGGGATACAAGATTCAAATTCCAATCCCCACCAAGAAGAACCTAGCTTTAAACAAAGGGGAAGATCTTCATCGATCTTGATCTCTTTTGTAAATCGGGAAACCGATAAAGAAAATTTATAATTTTTTTCTAAGTTGTTTAGAGAGAGATTACTGTGAGAGATTGTATTCATTCTTTTCTTAAATTGATTAAGGAGAATTAATAACATTTCCTTTCAATTTTTTTTGCATTTTTCCCGCAAACAATAATTAATATGATTTTTATTTGTGTGTTTTTCTTCATTCATTTTCAAGATATATGTGGTCCTGTGGATATATATAGCTATAGCATTGATATTCTCTTTTGATTTTGTGAAAGAGTTTGGGTATTAAAAAATTAAATTATCTAAGCCCATACATGAAATTTATTTGAACCAATACCCGTGTAAATATTACAATTGACATTGAGATCTAAAATATATGTGAGATTCTCTTTGATTTTTATATAAACAGTATCTATTGAAATGATGATAGTATATTTAAACTTTGTGATCTGCAAAAAAAGAACAAACATACAATATAAGTAATTGCTTTAAAATAATCTAATCTAGTCTAACAAGAAGAAAATAGATGAAAATGATGTGAAAATTATTATAATTTTATAATTCATAATTTTTAAACAATCTAATCTAATCTAATAAGAAGAAAATAACAAAGACACGTACCTGTTGAAGGAGATGAAAGTGCTATGAAAGCTGTTACAATTTTATATCTAAACAAAAGATCAAACATACAATATAATTAATTATTTTAAAATAATCCAATTTAATCTAATAAGAAGAAAATAGATGAAAGTGTTGTGAAAATTATTGATATTTCTTGATATGAAAAAAGATTAAATATACAATATAATTAATTGCTTTAAAATAATCTAATCTAATCTACTAAGAAGAAAATAACAAAGTCATATACATGTAGAAGGAGATGAAAGTGCTATGGTACTTGTTATAGTTTCTTGGCTTATAAACATTGGTATGTGATGTTGAATGTGAGAGGATAACAATTGTAAATATAGTTCTATTTAAATAATAATAGTATAATTAAACTTTGAAACTAATTATGCAGTAACGTGAACTACTTGAATTTTGGTTGGTGAGAAATTGTCAGGTTGTGTCCTCATATCGTAGCCGTTTGTTTTAAAAATTTTTTATAATTTTCAGAATGATTTTGTCTCTTTAACTTATTTGGTGGATTTTGCAAATACCACGTCCATATTATGTACATTTGTAGGTTTGTGTTATTCCTGGGTTCGACCTCTGGGGCGAACATTATTTGTCTCACTAATTTTTTTGGTTTTTACATATAAGTCATTCGTCTTGTATACATTTATAAATTTGACATTTAATAATTTTATTCAAATTTGTATTTTAATTTTAACTATATTATTATCTCATACTATGTATATCCAATAAAAATTCATCAATTTATCAACTTACTCTTACTTAATGAATTAGTATTTGAATTTTAAGGGTATTTTTGTCTACCAAAAGATTTTTCCGAACTCGTGCTTTTAAAGAGAGTATGATATATATATATATATATATATACGTACGCATCTGGCTGAGATCGTCGAAAGCAAGGGTTTTTTAGAAAAATGTCCGACAATTGCGTGATCCCATCTCGAGCTCGTGACCTCGAAAGCAGGGGGTTTTTTGAAAAATTATGACAAAAAAAGCCCCAAAATCGTCGTCCCTCGTGACCAGTCTCCTCATCAGCTTTAATCTCCTCCATTTCTCCATTTCTCCATTTCTCCTCAATTTCTCAAAAATCCCTATCAAAAAGCCGACTTCCCCCAGATCTCCTCCTCCGTCAACAGATCGACTTTCCCAACTCGATCCCACCGCGAAAGCAGCATCACCGCCGAGGGCGGTCGATCCAGTCTCGAGCTCTTCATCAGCTTTAATCTCCTCTATTTCTCCATTTCTCCTCAATTTCTCCTCAAAAATCCCCATCAAAAAGCCGACTTCCCCTATTTCTCCTCCTCCGTCAACAGATCGACTTTCCCAACTCGATCCCACCGCGAAAGCAGCATCACCGCCATCACATATATGCTAAATTTTTGTTCTCATATAGATTTATTATTTTGCTTTCTTAACCAAATAGAAATGGGATTGACCCTCCTCATTTTCTTGGTAGTTTCAAACCAACTGCTTTTGTTGGCTATTTTCCCACAAAGTGAAATAAGTTAGATTTTATTTCTATTTGTTCCATTTCAAGCATCAAATCCCTAGTTCTTGTAATCAATCTATAATTCCTAAAAAAAGACTGACAAAAACCCCAGAGATCTAACAGACTAAAAGATTTTGTGCTATTGAAACAACTGTAATAAAAAAAACCTAATCAAAACCTGTAACGAGCTTGGAATGGGCATGATCCTTACCTGAGTTGGGGGAAGGCGGTGGCTTGATGGAGGAGGAGAAATGGGGATCTTGAGAGAGCGCTCGAGCTCAAGACTGGATCGACCGCCCTCGGCGGTGATGCTGCTTTCGCGGTGGGATCGAGTTGGGAAAGTCGATCTGTTGACGGAGGAGGAGATCTGGGGGAAGTCGGCTTTTTGATGGGGATTTTTGAGGAGAAATTGAGGAGAAATGGAGGAGATTAAAGCTGATGATGAGACTGGTCACGAGGGACGACGATTTTGGGGCTTTTTTTATCGTTGTAATTTTTTTTAAAAACCCCTGCTTTCGAGGTCACGAGCTCATGATGGGATCACGCAATTGTCGGACATTTTTCTAAAAAAACCCTTGCTTTCGATGATCTCAGCCAGATGCGTACGCATCAGTGCGCATGAGAAATCCTCTGTCTATATATATATATATATATATAATATATATATATATATATATATATATATATATATATATATATATATATATATATATATATATATATTAAAAGAGATTAATGGGTATCCTTGTCAATAGGAGGAGATTTCCTCCTTGATGCCTCTAAAATCACATGATTGAGCGACATTATGGATGATCCGTCCGTTAAACTTGATCTACATATTCTAAAACCCCAACACACTAAGTTTGGGGTGAATCCGTCGTCGTTTGACCGCCTCCATCGAGCCATGTGGAAAAGTTCTATTCATTCAAAACCGTTAAAATTGATACAAGTGGATGAAGGGTCAAACGACGACGGGTTCACCCCAAACTTGGTGTGTTGGGGTTTTAGAATATGTAGATCAAGTTCAACGGAGCGGATCATCCATAATGTCGCTCAATCATGTGATTTTAGAGGCGTCAAGGAGGAAATCCGCTCCTATGACAAGGATACCCATTAATATCTCTCTCTCTCTCTCTCTCTCTCTATATATATATATATATAATATATATATATTATATATATATATATATATATATATATATATCACACTTGCACATGCACTTTTCCTCCATTTTACAACGCTTGTAGGGACTTTTCTAACTCCCCTGAGGTTTTTTTACCCTAGATATGAGAATTGATCTTTCTTAGTAGGACCCAGAATACTTTCAGGAGCAGGCATAGAGGCAGTAATCATAGTCTTCCTTGACAGATTTCATCTCTCCTCTAGATTAGATATTTCATGTTAGATGTTTCAGCCGCACATGGCAATTATTTTTGGAAATTTGGATGTATCTTCAATCTATTCCGTTCAGATAGATGTAGCTTCTTTGAGACTTATTTGTATTTTGTAGATGGAATCTTCAATCTATTCCGTTCAGATAGATGTAGCTTCTTTGGATGTATCTTCAATCTATTCCGTTCAGATAGATGTATCTTAATGACTCGAATTAATACATGTTCTGTAGATGGAATTTGTCTCAAAATTATAAACACTATGTTTCCAGAGACGCAAATACAGCCATCTAGGGGAAAAACTTAGGTCATGATTGCATCATAGGCCGAGTCATGTCCAATACAATCATATTTTGAAACCAACACATGACATTTCTTCTACCTCCTCTTTCTCATCTACTATTAACCATTCTCTTTAAGTCGTTACCATGGTTGGAAGCGAGCGCAACAGCTGTGGTCAGGGACAATGGGTTTGGAAGTGAACGCAGTGGTTGTGGTCAGGGGTTGTCCCTGACACATTTTGTTAAAAGGTTGTCGACCTAACTCATATTTCAACTATTTAATTAAAATTCCACCTCTAATCAGAAATATTCCCATCATTCATATTACTAAATCATAAGCTATAGGGAAATTTAAAAGAGATGCTTTAACTGATTAAATTCAGACCTTTTGCTTAACAACGGGGCTCTTGTGATCGAGGCGCTTGAGGATGTAATCAGAGACCTCTTTCACGATGCTGACATGAGAACTCCTCAAAAGACCACAGACCTCCTCCAATTTGTACACAGGAGCTACCTTGTCCTCGTCCGATGTCACTCCGTCGATCATCCGAGATCTCCAGTACGCTTCCACTGCTCTCCTGCTCGAATCCATGGGGACCCCAATCGATTCAAAACCCTAGAAATATGATCGCTCCTATTGGATCTATTCGTGGTTGAGGAGAGAGAAACCCTAGAGAGAGAAAGACGAGAGGGAAGGTGAACTGGGGAGGGTACTATGGCATGCGCTGGGTTAACGGGAAAAAACAGAGCACCACCGAGTAAGGCGTTTTTTTTTCCGTGTGAGGCAGCTACAAGGAACAGGGCTTATAAAGAGATCAATAATAAAGGTTTATTATTAATGTCCATCTACTCCCCTAAAAAATAAATAAGTAATTTAATGTCCAACTACCTGATTTTCAGTCTAATGAATAATGACTTGTCTTTCATAAAAAAAAACATGCATATTTGAGCACGTGTATGCATATAATATGTTATTACATAACTAAAAAAAAGAGGCTAACCCTATCAGTTTCACCATCTTTACTAAATATTCTAAGTTGTAGAAAGTAGTATTTAATTTCTTGAGTTGCAAAAAAATTAACACATTAGTACCTTCTATTAGATGTCTTGAGAACGTCCCCAAAAATATGTCTTGACAACTAATAGGAGGTATTAAAAGTACTACTTTCTTACAACTTAGAATATTGAAGTATAAACATGGTGAAACAATAGTGTATTTAAGTGCTAAATTTTTACAACTTAATGCATTAAAGTGCTATATTTTTACAACATAGAGTAAGTGCTACTTTTTGCAACTTAGGGTATTTAAACTTAAATGTAAAGGTAGTGAAACAATTGGGTATTTAAGTGCCAAATTTTCACAACTTATGGAATTAAAGTGGTACATTTTTACAACTAAGATTATCAGAGTTCTATTTTTTTACAACTTAGGATATTTAAATTTAAATGTAAATATAGTAAAACAATAGGATATTTAAGTGCCATTTAGCCATGATATAATGTTTTATAAAATCTATTATCTAGATCATAATAAACATTTGGTGCTTGAGAATTAGTTGTAAAGTTTGGGATCCGGATCCTCTCCAATTAGGTGATAATTGGAGAAGGTCCTATTCTCTCTATCCTTATCCTCCATTCTACGTTTAGTGGATGAGATCATACCACGTTAGGTTTTCATCATTATCTCAAAAATCATTGTGAACTTAAAAACTACTAATAAACTTGAAAACCACTATAATCAAAACCACTATTTGTGATAGTGAATATCTTACATGGTGTGATCTCATCCATTAAAAGTCATATAGATGGTAAGGATTGAGAGAATTGAACCCTCTCGTATTATTGTTAAATATTGTATATATATTGTCTACTTTAGTCTCACGTTAGTTAAGATAGTAAAATAATTTCTATTCATCTTGTAGATGAATACTACAATATCAAGGATAAATTTTCAAAACCAACCTTTTTTGAAATTTAATTAGAAAAGTCGACCCATTTCACTTTTAATTAGCATTTTTGACTCAGTTTCAACCAGCTGGCTGAAACTGTGTCAAAAATGCTAAATAAGTTGGAAAAAACTTTACAGGATTGAGAATATTCCATGAAGTTTAGCACAAAATTAAGCCACGCTAACAAAGATTAAAATCGTCACGAGATTGCCAATCCTGTAAAGTTTTCTTTGGTTGCAAACTTTACGAGATTAGCAATCCCGTGAAGCTGCACTAGACCACCAATAGAGGTGATCACCATACAAACTTCACAGGATTTTGAATCTTATGAAGTTGTAGGGTAATCTCACAGAGAATTCGATCTCTCTGTCGAGCTACCTTGCAACTTCATGGGATTCAGAATCCCATGAAGTTACTCAAACCTAACTTACTTATACCACATATTCTCTCTCTCTCTCTGTTCTCTCTCTCTCTCTCTCTCTCTCTCTCTCTCTCTCTCTCTCTGTGTGTGTGTGTGTGTGTGTGTGTGTGTGTGTGTGTGTGTGTGTGTGTGTGTCTCTCTCTCTCTCTCTCTCTCTCTCTGTGTGTGTGTGTGTGTGTGTGTGTGTGTGTGTGTGTGTGTCTCCTCACTCTCCCCCCAACTAGGGTTAGTACAACCACCCTGTTCTTGACCAACTCTGACCCCCTTACACTCTGACCATCTCCAATCACATATCTCCACCGTCGCTGACCTCCATTAGGTTGAAGTTCGCCAAAGTTTGTCGGAGTCCGTCAGATCTCAAATTTAGGGCTTGACCTAATTTTTAGAAAAATATTTAAACTTTTTTGGGTTTTCTCCTAATTTTCTATGTAATCCAACTATTTTATCATAATAGCTTGCTTTAGTTTAGATTTTGGATCAATGTTTAAATTTTTTTGTAATTTTGTGAAGAAAAAATAAGAAAATTTGTAAGAAATTTGATGGGAAATTAGGGAAAATTGTAAAAATTAGTGAATTAAAATGTTAAAAGTGAACATTGTTATAATTATTTAAATTAGGGAATTGTAAAAATTAGGGAAATAAAAATTTTAGAGTTTGACCTATGTAAAAAAAGGGAATTGTAAAAATTAAGTGTAAAATTTTAAAATTAGAAAATTTAACTATAAATATTATTTTTAGTGTCCTTTCTTTTTTTCTCCTCAGAGGTAATGATGGATGATCGATTCTTAATTCTTTGCTCATATGAGGGGAAGATTAACCATCTCGAGAATAATATGCCTGCATATGAAGGAGGTGTGACAAAAATATTGTTTATATCCAAATCATGTACTTTTGATGGATTGGTTAATAACTTACACAAACTTATATTAACTAATCCTCATGAGTATCGCCTCAATGTGATTTACAATTAACTTATAATGGAGAATAGAACAAGAGACATTCAAATCTCAAGTGACTATGATATGGATTTTATCTTCATATTGAATGATGAGAAGGATTCAGTGGAATTACTTATTGAAAAGCATGTTGGAGGACATTAAAGTTTACTCGACCACATTTTTATTCGCAATGGGATATGGATTGGACATAGATATGGATTGGACATAGTCACTATACTTGAGAGCGAACCTCGCTTGTGTTGGATATCATGTACCCAAGATATAGTTTTGATGATAACAATTTATTCACTATATGTATTATTGTGCACTAACATATCAATGCAGATATCAACTTGTTTTGATGATAACAATTTATTCACTATATGTATTATTGTGCACTAACATATCAATGCAGATATCAACTTCAAATAAGCTCAAGATATGTGAACAAAAGTGCAAGATGAGCTCAAGGCAATATGAAGTAAAGATGATGAAGTGCTTAAATATATACAATGTAAATTTTATATTTTCTTTACTTGGAATTATTGTACAAGCTTTGATCACTCACAACACATACACACACATAGTGTTTAGAATACACTAACACATGCTTAGTGTGTTGGTTAAAAATAGAAATCCCCTATATTAACCATTAGAGTTTATAGTTAAAGAATGAGTCTTAAAATACTTCATTCATATCATTTTTACCCCTTAGTAGTCGACCAATAAGATTTGTAGTCGACTACATGCACACTGATCAAAATACTAAGTTTCTGCCATTTGATAGTGTAGTCTACTATTGACAATAGTAGTCGACTACTCATGCCTTAGACATAATTTCAAGTTTCTGTGAAATAACAGTGTAGTCGACTAATATACAGTGTAGTTGACTACTTAAGACTTAGACAGATTTTTAAGGTTCTGTAAAAATACAGTGTAGTCGACTAATGACTATATGTAGTCGACTACTAAGATTAAATTAAATTTTTTAAGTTTCTGTCAAATTACAATGTAGTCAACTACTAGACAATATAGTCGACTACTAAGATTTGAATCTGAATTCTAGACTTTCTGTGTTTACAGAGTAGTCGACTGATGACCAGAGTAGTCGACTACTAAGAAAAATCCTAACTTCACAGAGTCTGTTTGAACTCAGTGTAGTCGACTACTAGGTGTTTGTTGGAAATTTGATGCAAAAAGACAATGAAAGAAAAATTTGACTTGTATTCCTCTCAAAATCAATTACAATTTGGATTCCGATTACAAAAGAGAGGAGAATGAATTTGATTCTCCCCTTTGTTTAATTCTGGGTTCTTCACGGTGGCGATGGAGTGCCTCCCTCGAATGCTCGCGTCGAGTTTGCTCTCCGTTGACGATCCGAACGTCTTGATTCACTGGAACGATGTCTTCTCCTCACGATTTGACGCTGTGGAGAACTTGCGTGGCAAGTTTTGAAATAACTCTTGACGAGTTGATAACTCTGAACGAGTTTTAGAAGAACTTGCAGAGCAAGTTTTGAACTCTGATCGAGTTGATAACTCTGACGAGTTTTAGAAGAACTTGCAGAGCAAGTTTTGAACTCTGATCGAGTTGATAACTCTGAACGAGTTTGAACTCTTGAAAAAGAGTTGATTTGAACCGAAAGTTCGGTTAATAAGCCAAGGAAGAAGCTCCTGTTGCTGGTCTCCAAAACTCCTTGTTGCTGCAGAACGCGGCAAGATGCTCGATCAAGGATCCCCAAAAAGTCAGCTCCCCCCTCCAAAAAAAAAGAGGATCCGAACTCAGTTGAGTTTTGAGGTATTTATGTAAACGCACAGTTGACCTGTTTAAAGGCTGAAAACGCACAATTGTGCTGTTTTAGAGATTAACTCTGCATTTTGATGTTGAAAACGCAGAGTTAAGCCTGTTTGAAGCTGAAAACGCACAGTTGTGCTGTTTTAGAGATTAACTCTGCGTTTTGATGTTGAAAACGCAGAGTTAAGCCTGTTTGAGGCTGAAAACGCACAGTTGTGCTGTTTTAGAGATTAACTCTGCGTTTTGATGTTGAAAACGCAGAGTTAAGCCTGTTTGAGGCTGAAAACGCACAGTTGTGCTGTTTTAGAGATTAACTCTGCGTTTCTAGACTGAAAACGCAGAGTTGAGCCTGTTTAAAGGCTGAAAACGCACAGTTGTGCTGTTTTAAAGATTAACTCTGCGTTTCTAGATTGTGCGTTTTAGGCTGAAAACGCAGAGTTGGGCCGTAACTCTGCGTTTTGATGTTATATCACAAGGATAACCTCTGCGTTTTGAGGTTATAACGCTGGTTCGACCTGTGCGCTTTGACTCTGTAATGCAGAGGTGAACCTTAGGCGGGCTTGGCGAGCTTCAGGCTAAGTCCAATGTTCTGACGAAGTCCAGTCTTGTAGATGGACTTTAGAACATAATTTGCTACGAAGAACAGATCATAACTTTTAAACCGTT